ATGAGGAAAGATGGAAAAGACCTTTCAGAGATAATTGGTTTCAGTGAGAAAAAGAAAGAAAAGATAGACATGGTGATAATGTTCTCATCTGTTTGATGTCTGCTTCAGTGAATTGGAAAACTTTGTTAATATCATATCTTTTTTTTTTTTTATTTTTTTTTTATTTCATTTGTACTCTCTTACTTGACCTGCAGTCATACTTATGATTGTTATTGCAATATTTTCTTAAAATTGTTAAGCTCAAATATTTAACAATACAATAGGGGAATTTTTACATGTATTTTATAGTTGGGGAACTTGCAAGAAAATTATTCAATCAATGACAAAGTTTTAGAGAAAATGGAAATAAAAAAGGCACTTATACTTAAAATCAGGAAGAGAGCGAAAATTCCTAGGGCATATAATGAGGAAATAAGGCTTAGAAAATTTGACACTCACAGGACATACAGAAAGTGAGAGAGACAGACAAAAGCAACAAATATCCTATCTAACGAGATTATGTAAATGGTTGGCAAAATAGGGATTAGGATATTAGCAAAAAGATAAACCTACCTAATGAGCATGTGTAATTGTTTGGCAGACCAAGGTTTCATTGTAAGACAAACTTTACTAAGGGCTACAAATGACAGGAAATTGTGGCAAGCCATGATTGCCCACATCCTGAAGGGACACAGCATATTAGAAGAACTTGAGAATTATGATAAATCAGAAAATTTTTATGGGTATTTCTAACATATATAAATGTGTTTGTATTACCTATTATTTTTACATATAAATGAATATAACAGAAGGTATCCATTTTTCTCATAAGGTTTGGCCAAAATTTGGTACTTTGGTGGTGAGACAGGAGTGAACTCTCCAAGATGAAGATTTGGATGATAGTATACGGAAACCATATGCAATGCAAACCATATACATCTCCCACCTCCTCTCAGCTGTACCAATAAGATGCAAAAGACTACAAGGCATTACATTTGTGTCTGTTATGGCTGCAGGAGTTGCCAGAAGTTTGTCAATGTTGAAAGTCAACCACCTTCAGGTCTCCTGTCTGGATTTACTTACATAGTATTTTTCATGTCCAGATATGACTGCAAGACAGTGGAGGTTTTATTAAAATCAGAGTTTTCTGTCTCCTGCCTTCCTGAACTAAGAAGCTTCATCTATCCAAAGCAGCTGGTTATGAAATGCTAGTGATCTGCCTTCATCCCCTGCTCCAGCTTGGAGCTGGACTTCATTGTTAGAGGCTGTTTGAGATGCAAGCCATGGGAGCATTTTATAGACAGTGGTAGCTTGTTCCCTCTACCACCTCAAGCTACGACAACCTTAGGAATATATATAATGCACATATATAAACATCATGTGTTTTAGAAGCTCCCAAAAAAGCTAATATTTTTATATATATATATATATATATATATATATATATATATATATATATATATATATATAGTGTCATCTACAGATAGACTGTTTCGCTGTATCACAGCTCATCAGTGTGGCTAGAGGTCCGGTTGTCTCTAGCTAGGATCAAAACCCGGCTGAATTGGCGTCAGTCAGAGATTCTACTCCTAAACCATTGGTACATGGCAGGGATGAAGGTGAATTTAAGTGTATTTATTTTTAGATAGTGACTGAGAGAACTTGATTCACTTTACCAAAGTCTTGCATTATTAGCCATATATATAAAATAAACAAAGAGACTAGAAATTGCAAAAGAGTCAACATAGAGAAACACAAATATCAAACAGTTTGATAATTGTGGGAAAAGATAGCAGAAAGAAAAATATAAATTAGGAATTAAGCCTAAATTACATTTTTTGTCTGTAATCATTTCACCCCAGGCAAAGCAATAAAGCCACTAAAATGCAAGGGGGTTACAGAGTGTGAAAGAAAATGAGAAAACATTAGTATCAGTAAAGAGAAAGAACAATAAAAGAACAGAATTCAGAAAGACAAGATGGCAATTTATGTTGGATTTAAACTTTTGAAGATCATAGTTGACAAGAATGCAAGACGCTGGAAGAGAGTTTCACAGGCGAGAAATGCAACAGAAGAAACTATTAGAATAGAACTTACGGATACATCTAGCTAATTCAACAGTGAAATAATGAGACCTAACTGCCAATCTAGCAAATCCATGAGGAAAGCTCATTAGAATAATTGCAATGAAAATATTTATAGAAAAGATACAGAGAAGCTATGTTACAGCAGTGGGGAAGTGACTGAAGCCGAGATGACAGGTCAGGACTGATAACTTTCAGTGATTATGAAGTCATTATTTATAACATAAAATAAAAATAATTTATACTACCTTTTTGACAGTACTAACATCTCAACTATCAATCAATAAAAAAATAAACAAGAATAGAAAAAGGAAAGTTAATATAAGTTTACATAAGCAAAAACAGAAAGTAAGAATACAATGCACAATCGTTAGGTTAGTTGTACAAAATCAAATAAATACTAATACAGAAAAATATAGTAACTGCAGAAAATGTTGAAAGAAATGATAATCAATACATATATAAATACAAATATAATAATCAGAATATATGTAATAAATGAAATAAGAGAAATAATATTTGCAAATTATATCAATTTATTACATTACTTTTAAGCAATATTTATTTTTTCCAGTTAAACTTAAAATCCATTAATTTCTTGGAACTCCAACAAAACGTGTCATCTCTCCTGGAGTTTAGAAAACCAAGATTGGGTTTAAGATATACATGTGTTAAAATGTTTTAATAATTTAAATCAGGATGAAACAGATCTACACATAGTGCATCAAGTTATGCAAATATTCAGTAATTGTCATATCACAAAAGTAAATCTGAAAATTTCCAAGTAGATGTTGCAATCATAAGACCAGTTGTCTGTGTCATGAAAACTAACTATTTGATAAGACAAGTGAAACAAATTCAATGGATATAGTTTATGGTTTCATGATCAAGACCTCAATAGTTTCAGACCATATGAACAATTACTTCATTTTACATCTTACTAATCTGACAAACACATAATACATAAAGTAATTAAAGTAAAATTCAATAAATTACTATAAAAGACTCACAGAAACTCGCTAACAAATTTTGGTCAAATTATTATCCGTTTATAATTGGAAGAATTTGTGCAAAGTCAACAATGGTCAAAACTAATGGTTACCAAAACTGTCACCAGAACACCAACATGCACAAGCATTTGGAACAGATCACCCAGACACTCAACTCTAGTGGCTTATATAGACACCCACCAATGGTCAGTTAATAAATGTGCATACCCTGCTGATTTCTTTAACAAGCTTGAGACACAACTAGGATTTTGATTTTCAGCAGACAATGCACGTGACATGCAGGTATTTCGTCTGATAAAATACACAACTTTCATTGCTACAGTCTTTTATGCAGGTATTGAATATAGATTACCTCCCTTTTATGCAGTTATTGAATGGATTACCTCCCTTTCGAAACCTTCTGCAAGATCAACAATCTCAACTGATTTAATTCTAATGACTAATAATTTCATTATTTTAATTAATTTATAACCAACTGCAGAGTAACATGAAAAGTAAAAATCTGCCACATTCAATAAACAACACATTGGAAAGAATAAAAAATAAATAGGAAAAGATTTTTGGCTACATCATGGTCTTCGAATTTTAGAGAGATTTTCAGTTTTTATGATTGCCTTGGACTTGAAGACACAAACTTTTAAGCATCATTTAAATTCTCAAGAATTTTAAAGCATTTACCATATTTAATTCTAAACTTTAATTTTTTTTGCATTATAAGAAATTTTAAATTATTTTTACAAAATCAAAATATAAAGAAAACTTGAATTTATTCAGACGAATGTTCTCGAATGTTCTCGAATGTTCTCCTTGTCTACTACCCTCTCCAACATTTTCTTCCACAAAATTGAAATGGTTATAGAAATGACTGTGTCCATTCTGAGATTGCCTTGTGCATGAGATAGTTGTAAATTTATCACTAGTGCTAAGAGTTTGATGTTGAAGACCAGTTTTTTCGGGGTTTTTTTATTATTATTATTATTATTATACAGAGTATCGGAGAAATACTTCCCACATAATCACATTTTCTAATTACCTCTATCAGATTGATAAGTAAATTTTTGAAGTAAACATTAACACCTTCACTGCTGCATTATTATAGCATAGTTGCTTGGCTATACTGTCCCATTTTGGGAAGAATAGGAAAGATTTTTGTCTTTTTTCTAGACATTTAAATGCTGACAGTAATTTTTCATGAGTGCCACTTTTTTTTGCTTTCAATCAGATACTCTACCGTTTAAACTAAACAACACCCAAACACGCAGGATAATAAAAAATATGTCACAAAACAAGTCATATTGTATGCTACCATATTTCTATTCTGGTCTGAAAATAGCACCAAGAACAAATTGATTTATAAGTACCAGAATTTTCATAGTGACTTGTAAATCTATATAAATGTCAACAGCAGGCAATCTGATTTTCATAAAGACATAGAAGTATCTCCCCAGTAGAGGAAATATTAAATGGAGTTACAAATATTTCTATATATAAACTATGAATTGTTTATATTACTGGGCTTTCTTTTGATGTAATGGAATAACCTGTCACCCCCATGAGTGACTACACTATAGGTAGTAACTACCTATAAGTACCTGTAAGTCAATGGACTACAAAGACCAGCTGTAGCACTCACAAGTGGATGACAACCTTGTGTATAAATGTTACATTTATTCCTATTGTACTGGTTTTACAATAAACCTTTACTTTTTTTATCCACCGTGTTTTTCAAGTATATATTCCTATTAGCACAGAATATAACATCTTTAAAATGCAATCTTTTGCAGAGAACGATAAAAAAAAATTACAATATTTATCATCAATCGGGACATTTTGTAATCAGATCGTGGAGTTCATTATTGCAATAAAACCACACATTGATTTATATTTCTTTCTCTCCATTAAATATAATAAAAAAATAAAAAGTCTTTTACCTGGACCTGGCGGGAGAAACTTGACGCGAATTCTCCGAGATGGAACCGTCTGAAGTATCTCTTTCCATACTGGGTTCCCGGGGGAGGTTGCCACGCAGAGCTCGCTGAGCGAAAGCACTCACAGGTACTGGGGGAGGAGGAGACTCATCCTTAGCTACCACTGTCATTTCTTTTATTTCTTTTTTTGTTGTTTCTGCTTTGTTAGCAATTCGTACTGGAGATCCATGCCTTGAAGAGCCTTTAACAAGAAAACATATGAAACATGAACAGTATCAGACACTGGTTACTTAAGACAATTGAATTTCAATAATAATAAATAAGGTTTTATTTCTTGCTACAGTTCTTTACAAAACTATAACAAAATCCCTGATTTGATAACATATAAGAGAGATGTGTGTGCATCTCTATATGCGTAGTAGTAGGCATCTGTTTATCTTGCAAGATAAAATGTAGGACCCAGTTTGGTCAAAATTCAGTCCTTTGGTGGTGAAGCTGGAGTGACCTCTCCAGGATTCAGGCCTGGGCCATGGTACATGCAGGACATGCACTGCCCAGACCACGTGGACCCCATCTCAGCTGTACTGACAATATCCAAAGTAATACAGGACAAGACATTTGGGGGATGACTTGGCTGCAGGAGTTGCTGTCTTCAGGGCTCCACTCCTGATTTTCTCTTTGGATTTACTTCCATAGTTTTTTTCATGTTTGGATATGACCACAAGGCAGTGGAGGTTTAAAATCATGGTTTTCCTTCCCCTAGATGGACTGCCTTCCTGGTATGTCAAGCTCCATCTACTTGAAGGAGCTGGTTATAAGACACCAGTTGTTTGCCATCGCCCATTCTACAGCTTGGAGCTGGATTTAGTTGTCAGAGGCTATTTGTTTGTTTGGGTTTTATGGCATATCAACCACTGTGGGTTATTTAATGCCAAATCCAGTTTATATATATATATGCCAAATATATGAATTTTAAATGCCCATTTTGTATGGAACATTTTTAGCAAGCTAGAGCTTATTTGCTTGCGCACTGCAAAATAATCCTAGGTATTTTTGTTTAAGTCAAGAATTTCCATTTGATAAGGACAATTTATTTGCAAAATAGTAAAAAGGTAGCATATGTTGTTTATACATCAGTCTACATCTTTGATAAGAGACCAATTCTTTTTAGAAAATCCAATATAGTTTTTGGTTCAGTTTTTGCAAATAATTTCTTCATGTTCTTCATGTTATAGAAATTTCTACGGATGTGTGTGAGATTTGTACATTCTATTAGTATATGTTTTACAGTGTATTGTTTTCCACAGGAACATTTAGGAGTAGGTCCTTGTTTTAGTACGAAAGAGTGAGTCAGTCTTGTGTGTCCAAATGCGTAGTCGAGCAGTGGTGGTTTGTTCTTTTCTTGTTTTAAGATTCAGTTGCCTTTCCTTTAGAATTGGTGCTATTTGGTAGAGTTTATTGAGAGGCTATTTGTGACATGTGACCAAAAGAAAAACTCAAAATAGAAAACGCAAAAAAAAAAAAAAACCCCAAAAAACCCTAACAACAAAAATCAGGAAAACGTATGGGTATGGGAAAATAAACAAAGAAAACACCTACCTAAACAGTAACCAATAGTACTCTATACCTAGTGTGCAAAGAACACTTCACACCATCACGTCTCAAAAGTGACAAACTTTGGATTGCTACTTAAGTTTCATGCTCCTGCAATAAACCATAAACCATCCACACACACACACACACACACACATATAGGGGGGCAGATACACTTCCCACATAATTGAAAGACATTAGTGGAAATGGTGATTTCATCTAGCTAATGTCTTACAAAAATATTGAACATATTTCTACATCAGCCTGTATATAGGATACATGGGCATAGTTAGAATGCTGACATTTCAACCATGAGGCCAAGATTACAATTCTACCATGGTGGATTTGTCAAGAAGGTAATTCTTGATTATATCCCAGCACACAGGCCTGCTGGGAAATGCCTGAAAACTATGCAACAGGTTGACGCAAGCCTTGTGAATGAAATCAAGAAGATGGAAACATTTGGAAGCCATTGATTGTTATGCTAAGACAGAGACACAAGCCACTATGACTGAGTGTTCAAGCATATTGACCTTGTTCAAACTGCTTTCCATGCCAGGTTATATGTTCTCTCCAAAAAAAACCTAACTGAAGTCTACCCAGAATAGTTGCTCTATAAACCACAGGTGGGCTCACTCTGTGGGTGGTAAAACAATTGTTTCTGAATGTGTAACAAGGATTTGCGAGCCACCCTAACAAACAGGTATAACCAATTATTATTATATATATATATATAGTACTCTTGGTTACTGTTTAGAAAAGTGTTTGCTTTTTGATCCTAATTTGTTTATTTTCCTATTGGTTTTCTTAATTTTTGTTGTCAATGTTTTTAATTGAGACTTTATATATATATATATATATATATATATATATATATATATATATATATATGTGCATATGTGTGTGAGTGTCAATCCCAAACAAACACAGAAGAAAATGAGCCCCTCCCCCACCAAACATAATCAAACTCAAATAAGCATAAATAGATCCTTTTTAAAAAATGTCTGATGATTGCAAAAGCATGAAACCCAGGGTCACAAGCTAATATCCATAGAACAGAAAAAAAACACACATACATATATATATATATCCGATGCAATGAGAATGAAAGTACTATATAAATTCCAACGTTCACAGCATTAATCCAAAAGAGGGCTCGATACCAATAGTAGAGAAACTGAAACAAAGTTTCATCTTTGTAGTGAATAAAATGGTTTTGTCTATATGATAAAATTATAATAAATAAAAAGAATAAGTATTCTTTTAAGAATAGTATTTGTTGGTTATTGGAATTTATTCCGTATACACCAATTCTGTGTGTGTGTGTGTGTGTGTATATATATATATATTTATGCAACCTGTACCACAACAGAGATTCTTAAATAAAATAATTTTACTACAAGTGCTATAGATTAGTGACAAATAAGCTCATCTCTGAATTATAATAAACTTTATCTCCAGCAAGTACTCCTTATATGTGTACATGTGCCAAACTAAGCTAGCTCTTCATGACACATTGTGACAATAGCAACCAAGATGAAGGCAATTGTTTGATTAAATCAGTGCATTTTAATAATTTTGTGTCCCTGACATTCAAAGACATGTCTTAAAGAATGTTTAATTGTTTTATGAGATTAGAATTGCACAAGCTTTGTTGCTTTGAGAAACGTTAGTGAAATTGTATGACAAAGTGGAAAAAGTTTACTTGTGACAGGTTTTGTCCTTCAGGACATCATCAGAGTATTATGCTGGTAGGACTACACATGTGCACAGCAGAGGGGTGCTGAGAATTTTAGTATTTTTATCAGCCAAATTCATTTAGAGTCTTTCTTCTTTTTCTTTCCATCACTTTTGTAAGTATGTATTCCACACTGTGATATTAGATCTACCAGGAATGGTAAAATGGTCTAAGAGCCAGGGTGCAAATTTACTGGAGCTGACCTTGCGATCAATGAACTATCAAGACATTTATGTCATAGTGAATTATTTTCTCCTTTGATCAGAGTAGCATTTTTTATGTCAAATTTGTGGTCAGTCTCATTACAGTGGGCAACCAACGCATTTGATGTATTATTTTGTAAAATGTCCCTTTTGAGAAATATACAAATATTACCAAAATTACCTGTACTTTGGCTGGGACTTGAGCTACGTGATGGTGTCTTCTTTGGGGTGCCAGGGGGAGAGGGAACAGGTGTCGGTCCATTTCCGTTGAATCGACTTTCACAGCCTAAACAAAATAACAAGCTTTAAATGTACAATCAAAAGAACGTCAAAAGAAAAAAATTTTTTTATTAAATAAATTCATTTTTCTTTCTTTTTAAGTGGACAATGTGCAATAAGGACAAACATGCATTGAACAAAAGAAAAAAGATAGAATCTGTGTGAAGAGAAAACAGACAAAATACATGGCAGGAAAAGTAAAATGAAAAAGAAGATAATTATTTCACTTTTTACAAAAGGACAAAAAAAATGTAATTTTGGTGTTTAAACCTTTAGATTAGTAAGCTTTTCAAATTTGAATATATCAATCATTATACATATATATTAAGAAAAGTACAAGTGACTTATCTGGTTTGCCAAATCATGAGTTTCACATCGAAACACACATCAGGGCCAAATATTTGAAATTCTATTGATGTTCTTTTGATCTTATTAACAGATCCCATATTTAGATATGAGATATCAGTCAAATGCTAATTTTCAAATTTGAAATTCTTAACAGGCTAGTGTTTCATTATAAATGTCATGAAATTTAAATTTGGAACCATATATATTACAGCGTGCGATGGATAAATAGTCGCCATTTTATATGTTTAATTTTGCATGTGTGCATTATTTGTTTTTGATTTAGTCACCTGCATATAGTAGGCTCAGATGGGCACTGTCTGGGAGAAAATGGGCACCATGATGTAATTCACTCCGCCAGAAATTTGGAAGCGACATGATGTACTGATTGGCATTCACACCGGAAGCTACAATACAAACAATTCAGAGTGTTTAGGTGTCAATCTGAGGACAGTGCAAAGGATTTGGAAAGACTTGGATGAGTTTAATGGCGATTCATTCAGATAAGAACTATGAAATTTGTTGGTGAGATCCAGACCATGATTAACAATGATTCCTTCAAATATATCAGGTCCATAGCTAGGAATAAAAATGTGTCTGAGTTTCTTATTAGGCAAGTAGTACATTAAAGAATTCATATTTCTCATAGAAGATGAGAAAGGGAGAATTTTTATCCCAAGCCATGAAGGATATGAGGAAAGACTATGCTACAAACACAAGCATCCCCTCCAACTGAACATGCTTTGGTTTTTCTCAGACAAGAAAAAATTCTGCTAGGATAAGATGATGAACACACAGAACAACCATTGGCTTGTTGAGTCCCCAATAGATGTACCTAGAGTGATAAAAATCAGATATCCAGTCAGCATCATGGTGTTTGGAGTGATCACTAGTAGCACCATGCCACACAAGCAGGAGTACCCAGTCATGACTGTCAGACAATTTCTGTGACCACATCACCCTTACATCTAGCCACTTAACTCTCTAGACTACAACCCCCTTGATTATTATTTGTGGGGCACAGTTGAGTCAGAGATGAACAAAATTCCTTGTAACACTAAAGATGAAGGAAAGGATTTACCAACTTAGACATGGAGACCATCCAGAAGAGATTCCGAAGGTGATTTTATTGAATAAATTTACTCTGTAGTATTTCATGATATTTTTGTATAATTTTGATATATGTATATATCTGTTAAAATGAAATGTGTTATTTTCATTTTAGTGAAATTTAGACGACAATTTATCCACCGCACTATATATATATATATATATATATATATATATTCACACACACACATTTCATTGAATAATATAGACATATTGTGTTTTTATACTGACCCTTTCCAGTTCTCTAATCAATTTTTTCTTGTTAAGATGAAGTTCATCAAGGAAGGCACCGTAGATGGTTTTCTAACCCAAATACTTTCGATCTACCACCCCACAAACCAAACCTCCCCACCACCACCTAAGATAATCTTATAACAATAAGTTTGTCTTTAAGTTTACCCCTGAAGATGATCTTGGAAAAGATTAAAAGTACTTGGATTAGAAAAAAACTATGGCACCTTCTTTGATAAATTCCATCTTAATATCAAGAAACTGCTTAGACAACTGGAAAGGATCATTATAAAAATAAATAGACACAATATGTATATATTATTCAATGAAACATGTTTGAATATATATATATATATATATATATATATATATATATATGACATTATTCTACAAATACATATATTACATTATACATAATCAAATGCCTTATATTTTACCTAAATGATTGTAATATGCCTGATTAAATAATTAATAATATTATGCCTTAGTAGGAAATTATGCTATGCCTAAAAAAAATCAATCATACTATGTGTTACTAATGGCAATGGGAATATTAGCTGTTTATTTATAAACAAACATTCATTGACAAAGCAGTAAGTGTTATCATCAGTTGAAATTTATAAAATCTTTCTCTTAAAATAATGTTTCAGGAAAAGTTTCTCAAGTCCAGTAACTTATTGCTCTTTCAAGTATTATTGGGAGGAGTCCTTCATAACCCTTTGTTTGAAGTAGTGTGGACTCTCAGCATCTTGATTATGGTATTATTTTTTCTTCACAATATATGTGCTATCCATTTTAGTCATTGCCGCTGTTGAAAATCCTTACTCATACCACATTTTACTGAGCAATTTATTATACTTTGCCTTACTAATTAATCATATCACATCATACTAAGTAATTAATTATACTATGACTTATTGAGTATTCATACTATGACTTACACTGTAATTAATTATACTATGCTGTACTGAGTAATTAATTATATTATGCCTTACTAGTTGATTAAATATCATCAAATAATAAATTTCCTAATTAATAATTTAACACTAGAATACCAAATCTATAAATAGTATTAGAATATATAGCACAAAATATATTGAAGTAACTTGTTTTACTTTGAAAAACAACATAGAAAAATTGCTTAATCTGAGTCATTAGCTTTGAACCTAAGAAGTAAATAATACATTACTGACAGGTGAGCCACGCAAAAGAAACTAAGAATAATCAGAAATTACTAAACTAAAATTTGTTATGTAAAGCCTTTCTGGGTTATTTAAAGCCAAAATACATTTTGGGTTATAAGAATAATTCTTTGATGGAAAATAAAATTGCAACATCCTGATAGACAATCCTAATCTGTCTGCTCAGTGATTGTAGATATCCTGATAAATCTTTGACAAAGTTGGACCTTCATGTCCATTAAAAAAACATGTGTCAAAAGGATGGTTTTCCCCTTGACACTACTATTATTTTAACTACCTTCACTCCTTGGCAATGTTTATTCTTTTAAAAAGTGATTATTAGAATTATACTAAAACCTAAACATATAACAGTGAATCTAAACATTTTTTTGTTCTTGAGAATTGACAACAAAAATAAGAAACAATATTTATTGGATTATTTATTCACATTATTTCTAGAAATAGTTGGCAAAACATCGGCTAATTGGCATTTGTTTTGAACTTTAGAAAATGGTAAATAATAAGGATTTACTTATAATGGATTCAAACATTTTAATAATTTATGAAAGGTTTATAAATTTAAGAATTAAAAATTGTTTCTTACTTCTTTATAAATTGGTAATGATTAATATTGCATTTTACTTTTAATTGTATTAGTTTTTAGAATGTTGTCAATATATTCTTGTAAATAAACAATTTTATAGTGTTTAATATTTTTGTTGTCAATTCTCAAGAGAAAAAAAAAAATGCATAAATTTCCTTTCATCATAAGTTTTATTACAATCATCACTTTTTAAAAAAATAAACATTGCCAAAGAGTGAAGGTAGTTAATATAATAACAATATTAAAGGAAGAACCATCCTTTTGACACATTTTTTGTAAACAGAAAGATCCTGGTTTGCCAAATTTTCAATGTATTCAAGCTATTTTTTGATATAGTAACATTCATACCAGTGCATCTTCTGTATCTGAGCTTTAGATCTTGTTGCATCATACAATTACACTCGGTCAAGTGAAAGAGTCTAGTACAAGTCAGTGGCATGCCATGGGGATAACAGCTGCTCTTTTTGTTCAAATACAGATTTGCAAGCTTTTGAGAAACTAGATGAATATTTGGGAAAATTGTGTGAATGCTGGTGGTGCTTCACATCACAGATTAGACCAAACGTCATTCCAGGAATATCAACCCAGATCATTGGGAATCATTTATTTGCAGCAGTACTATAGGTATGAGTGTCTCTTGCCAGGATTTCAAATATGCCAAAACATCATTGTGTTCTCACCAGTAGTGTTGCAAGGGGATCACCTGGAGGGATCAAATGGTTATCAGTAATATTCAGCGATGAGTGTAGGTTTTGTCTTCATGCAATAGATGGTCATTTGCATGTGCAATGACGACCTAGTGAGCAACTTCCAAAGTGTATTCATCTATGACACAAACCCATACAACATAGTGTATTATGTCATAAGTTACAATACTTGCTTGCTTTTCATTTTTATGAAAGAAACATTGAACAGTGTATGTCTAAAACACTGTTTAACCTATTCCTGTGATAAGTGATATGCTGTTCCAGTATAATAATACCTGCCCACATGATGCCCACACTACTCAATATGCTCTGCAAGATATAGAATCTCTATACCTGTCCCCAATTTGACAAGTATGGATGGAGCCTGATTTGTTCAGTTAGTCCACCTCTAATTCTTGCTGCAGTGTATCAACAGGTACAAAAAACATGGTTTAATGTATGACAAGATGGTATACCCCAGCTGTACATTCAGACTTTCATGAATACAAATGTGCTAACACCTATGGAGGATATGCACTGTATTACTATAGGACCTGAATACAGTTGATAAGCCACTTAGAACACACACACATATATATATATATAAGATCCCTTATTGTAATCCACTTATCAGTTTGAAAAATGAATTCAGATTGTTGCAATTTTAGTGTGCATAGTAGTAGGTAGGGAGGACAGGATCAAAAGATCCACACCAAACAAAAATAAATTATTAAATTGCAGTAACTGTAGAAATTGTTGACTTTCAACTTCTAGGCACTTTTGAACCCACTTAATACATGAACTTTGAAATTTTTTTTATACTAATTGTTCACTTAATACAAGGCCCAGGAGACACTCAAGGTAGAGGGTTAGTGAATGATGCTGGTCTGCGAATGAAAGAAGAGGAGTTGTGCAGTTTATGAGGATATGTAGGATAGATATTAGTTTACCCTAGTCTTGAAGGGGTTAAGACTGATTGGGGGAAGCATTCCCTTGGGAGTCTGTTCCACAAAGTAGCAATTCTTGAGAAGAAGCTGTCTGAGTGGAACTTTATTCTTACTAATGAAATACAAATGGAATAAAGATGATTCCTCCCAATGTACATAGCATAGACAGTCTTAGCTGTGAAGGTCAGGACTGTGGTACTAAAAAAACAAAAAAAACAAATGAAACTCAGCAGCATAAAACATAAAATTTTTCCCTTTTTGTCATTCAATTACACAACATATCTGAGATTGTAGACATCATTACTGTAAATTTCTTTCACAATACTATCACTATTTCTATAACAAATGTGCTGCTGAGTTTCATTTGTTTTTTTGTTTTTTTTTTTAGAAAATATTTTTTACTGATAAAACTCATTCTAATTAACTTAGAGATGAGGAAAGAAGAAATCAATTCATATTTTTCCCTAAGGCTATTTGCACATAAGTAGATATAACAAACATGACTGGAATTCGAAACCTGGTTCTCTGATTTCTAATTCCAAGCCATTATCCATTACAACACCTGCACATTCAAGTTTATAGCCCCTAGTATTCCTAAGGGGTCACCCATCTAAGTACTGACCAGGGTTGACATTGCTTAACTTGAGTGATCATATGAGAATGGGTGTCTCAATGTGATATGGCCATAAGATGCCACTATATTGGGTTTACTTTGTTAGTCATTCACCATTGACCACTGTGATTTTATTTATGCAAAGCTTAAAAAAAATATCAATTAAGCAAAAAAAAAAAAAACAAACAAAACAAATCATGTCATCAACTAAACATAGTGAACAAGGCTGTAGATTGATGGCTTGAGTAAAGCAACTTAAAAAAGAAGACAAAACTAAATATGAATCAAAATTAATAATTATGCATTTCTTCATAAAACACAGACTTAAACAATAAATGAAAAATTGGTAAATGAATCATTTTAAGAATTTAAATGAAATAAAAAGAAGGTAAATAAAAAAGAAAGAAAATGCTGATGGTATATCTGCAAAATAACATTGTAAGAAAAACAACAACAATGCAAGTATACACAACAACAATGACAACAAAAAAACAAACTGAAAAGAATTGCATGAAGAAATCAGGTTAATATTCAATTACAACCATAAAAAAAAGACCTTTTAAAAAACTTAATAAAAAAAAAACTATCCATTTATACTCCAACATTTCTGTCTAAATTTCTGGGATGAGGAGTTATCATTATTTACATCTTGCAGAATATGTGGCAGGACTGTATCATGAACACCCAAGTTCCCCTTTGCACAAAAATGGAGAGTCTAGAAATCATCATGTCTTGCCACTGACTTCAATGGGCTGGACACTTTGCCTGAATGCCAGACAACCACCGACCCAAACAAATACTCTTCTCAAAGCTTGCATCTGGCAAGAGACCACATAGAGCCCCATGTCATAGATACAAGGATTTTTCTCAAAAACATTTTGCTGAGGAGAGAAATTGATCTGGTCAATTTGTAGAAGCTGCAGAAAGAACCAATTGTAAAAGAGCAGTCCATGAAAAAACAACATGCCAGAGGTCTCCATCCCCTGAAACCTCCTATCCTACAATGCAGTGGCTGTGGATATCACTTCAGATCCAACATAGAACACATTTCACACAGAAGGAAATGTCAATGAGCACCCCAATACTCAGCAATGAGTTCTGCCAACAACAACATTGTCCTCATCTGTTTTCATCACAATGTTTCAGCCATTGTGCCCTCCAGCCTTCATCAGACGCTTGAAAATTCAGGTAACCTTCGGGTAACTTTGAACTGGACTCTTTATTTAATCTACAGTCACAGATTGTTCTTGCTCCACTGACTGTGTATATAGATATTCCATCCAGCTGTTATTTAATACTGCTCAGTTGGTTAAAGCATTGGTCCATGAATTTGGTGATATAGTAATTGTGAGTTCTTAGGTTTCAGTGTTCAAATGTTAAAATTCTAACTATATTGCCACACACCCATCAAATGCCAACTATGTCAAAAAGAATTTTTTTTACCAAAATGACATGAAAGATATTCCAAATTCTACAGCCTTTGTTAGACATTGTTTAAAGAATAGATGCACCAAAACATTGTAGTGCCACCAAAGAGAAATTCAAGAACAAAATTTGATCAATGTTAGTAACTCTTCTTAAAGTTATAGACAGGAAGAAATTAGGGCCTTTTTTTTTAATATTTTTTTTCTAAAACCAAATATTATCAAAAACAATAAAAAAAAAAACAAAAAAGGAAAAAAAGATAAATGCTGTCAAAAGTTTTGAAGAAGGTCTTTATTTAATATAGCAATAATTAATATATCCCCTTTTTCCTTCCAAAACAAAATCATGCAGCATCAAAGCATTATGGGGGAGGGAATCCTTGCTGCTTGAATCTATACTTCATAATAAAGATGGAGAAATTTGAAAATATAGATGTTTTGTTTAATATACAATTTGCAGAGGTGTAACAGTCTATGAATGGTAGAGAAATTAACCTAAAATAAATAAATTCCACCATGTTATATTTATCAAACTATAAAACAAATTTAGAAACTAGATAATATAAACTCAAAAGTGTAATAAAATGGATGAATGTAACTGCTTCTTGGCATGCTTAGTTGGTTGTTCTAATGCCAATTAATATAATTGATGATTAATTAAGCAATAATTAATGTCAAGTAAATAAATTGACAGCACTTGACTAACATCTAGTGAAAACTACTAAAATTCTCTTTAAAAAAAAAAAAAAAAAAATATATATATATATATATATATATATATATATATATATATGGTGGACTCTCCAGTCATATTTGACGTATGAGGGTCAAACAGCTCAGTTACCAGGAACCAACAGCCAGACACCAGCACAGATGATTTGATTATAGTGGTGAAGGATTTATGCAGAACCAACCACACTTTTTGAAGGGCCAAATACAGAGACTTGATGCACTATGTGCCACAAGGTCTCCAAACGACCCTCTGCAGGTTTTGAATTCAGAGTTGTCCTTCTCCTAGACCAGTTGCCATCCAATGCTATAGAACCCACTCTGTTCTGCTATTTAACCCATAACTGGAGGGAGAAGAAGAGGGTTAATACCTTCCCCAAGGTAATGGATTCGAGTGGAATTTGAACTCTGATTCCTTAATCCAAGCCGCTATCCACTACTCCACCGTGCCTATATATATATATATATATATATATATATATATATATAATTGAAAGAGACAGGAGTCAGTGAATTATCTTTTCCATATTCTTTAACCCATACCCTGCTGGCATCAGTTTAAACTGACATCCTTTTCCATATAGGAATCAACCATAGTCGGGATCCTCGATTCAACAATCCTTTCCTTAGCTGCATAATATGTACTTTACTAGAGCTATATAAAACTAATCTGTAATTCTAAACTATAGCTTTGGAAAGTGAAAAATTTCATCTGTATTTATAAAAATATGAACTTTAATAAATATTATCACAATATATTAAAAAACAAAAGACATTATATGTGCTATCCATTTCAGTCATTGTAGTGGTTAAAAAATTCTTAATCATACCACACCTTACTGCGCAATTTATTATACTAGGCCTTACTCGGGAACCAATTGTGCTAGGCCTTACTCAGTAATTAATTATACTATGCTGTACTGAGTAATTAATTGTATTATGCCTTACTGGGTAATTAAACATCATCAAATAATAGATTTCATAATTAATAATTTAACACTAAAAAAAAACAGAATCTATAAATAGCATTAGCATATATGACAATATATCAGAGTAATTTGTCTTACTTTAGAGCTCAGAATGAGAAATCTGAGAGACATGTTCAATCTATATGTTCTCCTCCCCACACCCCCCCAACCAGCTATGGTTTACAGGGCTCTGAAGCCTGGGTTGGCAAGCAGTCTAGAAAAACAACTCCTAATTCCAAGCCTGAGAAGGGCTGTTTGCAAACTTGTGGCACACTATGCACACCAATTCTCTGTATTAATTTCTTTTGAAAAATGTGGTTGGTTCTGTACAAGTCTCCACTACTATAAGCAAGTCATATTTGTAGGATAGTCTGACTGTTCATTTGAACCATACTTAATCAAAGATGCCAGAAGAGTTCATCTCACGTATGTATTTCTTTCTATGATAACCACTGATGATCAGTATTTACTAAGCTTAGCTTAGTAGGGCATAATGGCACATGTGTAGGACACCCAGTGCAGATCAAACTCCCTACAGTAGTAATAGTCTGTGAGATAATCTTGCTGATCACTACTCCACAGCAAGGTAGCCATATTGATATTTATTAAACTTAACTTATACAAGTATCAAGAAAAAAAGTAGGGTACCAAGTAAGGATTGAACTCCCTACAATAGTAATCATGTTAGACAAGCTTATTAACCATTGCTGCACAACTTATATTTACTAAGTTTAGCTTAGTAGAATATAAAACACGTAGTGAGGATCAAATTCGCTGGTAGTAATGGTCTATCAGACTAGCTTTTTAACGATTACTCCAGTGTTGATATCTGATTATCACCACCCATTTTTTAGGACAAGTGCAACAAATCACCAACAAAAGAAATAAATTTAAGAATCTTTAAAAAAAAAAAAAAAAAAAAAAACATTCTCTAAATTTAATATATTTAAATATAAATGTATTAAATTTTTTTTTAAATGTAGCAAATGAAAGAAGATAAATGATTGCTTATCCATGTATAAAAAAGATGAAAACAATAAAATTTCAAAATAAATTACTTATGTAATTTGGAAAGAAAGAATAACAAATATAGATACAAAAAATACAATATATGTACAACAAGAAATGCAAGCAAAAGAACAATTGAAAATTGGCAGATTTTATAAACATTAAAAAGAGAAATAAAAAACAATTATGTATGCAAGCATTCAATTGTAAAAAGAAAGAAAGAAAAAAGCACAAACAAAAAATTTTGGATAAATCTACCTCAGGGGCAAGTCAGAAAAAAATGCTTTTATTTTAATTCTAACCCTATTTAATAGATTTGGAGAGACTTTTAAAATAGCTTCCATATTTCTTTAGTTAACAACACAACTTGCAAAAATTCTGCTATGAAATTTGCTTTTATTTCACCAAAAAAGTTATCAGCAAATTGAAGGAACTTTGTATTGGAAAGTAATGTATTTCATTTGTAAGTTTTTAATATTCTATTTGTTTTTGTTTATTTTTTCTGGCAATAATGATTTGTTTTTACAGGTATACAAGAAGAAAAATTTACAAAACAATTTTTACCGGATCTTGGATCTGATCTCCAGTTTGCATACTAATCATATTTTAATAAGTAAAGTTTTTGTGGTGTGGGACTATAAACCTCATCTTCTGTTATGTTTATTTTTACGTATAGCTAAAAGGTGGATGAGAAATTGGAGAATCAAGGTTAAATTTCTGTCAGGTTCATTAAATTTATTTACATGCAACTCTCCTAGGATAAGGTATGAATCCATTTCTTCTCTTCCCATCTATGAGTTAAACAGCAGGACAAACTGGGTCCTAAAGCCTTGGTTGGCAACCAGTTTATCGCAGAAAAAAATGACAGTCATGAATCAAAAGAAACACGATCGACCAAGCATGTATCATATATGGCACTTAACTGACTGAATAGGAGGTTTGGATA